AAAAACTCAAGATATTGAATTCAAGCTTATTATTACTCAAGGCTAAGTTTGATCTTATTCTACAAAAAGTCAAGTCCAAGTTTATTCTTACTAAAGGTTGAATTTGAGCTTATTATACAAAAAGACAAGTTTAGGCTTATTTTATTTAAAGGTTGAGCCTAAGCCAATTCAACAAAACCTGAGTTTGAGCTTATTTTTATTCAAGGTTGACTTTGAGCCTATTTTACAAATAGTTGAGTCCAAGCTTATACTTATTAACAACCAAATCCAATCTTATTCTACCAAAAATCGAGCTTGAGCTTATTCTTATTAAAGGTCAAGTTCGAGCCTATTCTACAAAAACTAAGTAAAATCTTATTCTTATTAAAGATGGTAAAAAAGCATTTATAAATATTCCTTATATCTTATTTGAAATATTCTAAATAATTAACTATGAAGATGAAAGAAAAGAACAAGCAAAGATACAACTACTAGAATTTCTATTTTATATTTTTTGATTTCTCATAAATAGGAAATGTAAAACTTTTAAATGTATGAAAATGTAAGAAATATATGAAGTTAGATGGAAACACATAGAAGGGGGGTTGAATATGTGTGTGTATGAACGGAAGAATTTTAAAACTTTTTCGCAGAGGGATTCATTTTCGTCCAATAAAATTATTCTTTTGACTATTTAAGAATTTATCAAGATTTGCTCAACAAAGGATTTTGCATCTGAAAGTTCATAGTTTGCGCAAGGAAAACGTTTCTTAAGAGGAAACTGTTTCTTAATATATTAAATTAAGCAAGTATATTTTTCATTTAAAAAGAATTACATTGAAGCATAAGCATTGGACGAAGTTTTCAATATGATATATCAGTTAAGTGAAATTGCGTTTGAAACATAAATAAACAGTGCAAGGATTTTTATACTAGTTTGCTCAGACTGAGCTACGTCCAGTATCTTTCAATTGAAGGGTTCCACTGGATATTCAATGAAGTACAAGTATTCTTTGTTCAGCCTCTTCAGGCTCGCAGTGAGTATTCTCGACCATTCCTAGTCCCGAGTATTATCAACCACTCCTGGTTGGCTAGCTTCACTCACTAGCTCTAGTATTCTTTGTTGAGCCTCTTCAGGCTCTCAGTGAGTATTCTTGACCACTCCTAGTCCCGAGTATTCTCAACCACTCCTGGTTGGCTAGCTTCACTCACTAGCTCTAGTATTCTTTGTTCAGCCTCTTCAGTCTCTCAGTGAGGATTGTCAACCACTCCTAGCCCGCTAACTTCACTCATTAGCGCTAGTATTCTTTGTTCAGACTCTTCAGGCTCGTAGTGAGGATTCTTTGACAAGCCTCTCCAGGCTTTTACAAGTATTCTTTCCCTAGCCTCTTCAGGCTTTACAAATGATAGATATACGAGTTGGTTTGAGTGTTTGGTTTACTCTCACAGAGAGGATACAAAATTTTGCTACACTCACTAAGGTGCATGTTCCTAAGTTACACTTAGAACTCCTTAGTCTACAGAGATAAATACATTATGTTACATTTGATTCTATAAGCTCTGTCTCTGGTTTCATTGGTTCATGGGCTTGATATCACTCTTCGCCAACGCCAACCTTTCCAGGTTTGAAGTTGTGACATATATATAGTCTTGTAAGATTTGCCCGTTGCAAGTGTTCGTTGAAGCAGGATGTAGTCGTTCATGACTAGTTTGATCTTTCATTTAATGAACAAGATCTTGCATGAAATGTTGCTTCCTGTTATAAACATTGTGTGAAGTCTTCTTCATTTTTTTAGTAGCAGTGTCTGACTTTAGCTGAGACCTAGGAACCTTTTGTCCTTTTCCGGTCGTGTAGCTGCAAAGCATTGTCTTTATATGAAAAAGTAATGTAATTTTTCTGACACATGCATGCTTTTACTTTTGACTTATTTTTCTTCTTCTTTGTCTTTTCCTTTAATCATGCGATCATATTGAGAGCTTTCGTATAATCGTAGACGATGCCTGATTTGTCCCTTGAGACTTGATTCTTCAAATACTTGCATGGCCGGCTTCGTCTGCGTCTGGTAGTCCATTTGCATCTCAAGTCTTGATCTTCGTCTGAGCATTAGTCATTAATGCTTTGACTTTCTTTGGTCTGGTTAACATTGTAGATGGACAAAATTTGTTTCCTTTTGGAATACTTTTCAGTTTGTGATGTCCTTCGTCTGATATTTAGTTGACTTTCTTCAAATCTTTGACTAGCCTTTGTCTGAGTTCCTATGTTGCGCTCTAGGTTGTGCTTGACACACCTTCATCTAATATTTGATTCATTATCGTCTAGCGCTCATTTCACGTTTCATCTATCACTTGACTTGTTTAGTCTGATCCTCATGGTATGCTTTGCTTTGACTAATCTTCGTCTGGTACTTGAAGCTTTCGTCTGTGGGTTTGTATCGTCTAAAGTTTAATCATTTGCCTTTTTGTGCTAGACTTGGCTTCGTTTGACCTTTTCATCTGATGCTTGACGTGGCACACTGACACACTTGTTGATCCTTTCTTTATCTTAGTTCCAACGTGAGAAGTTGCACATGCTTTGTTCTTCAACTTGCGTGTACTGATGTTTTTCTGAAACACTAACACTACATGTATTATATTTGTCTCATTCAAAACCTTGCTGGAAATTGCTTCGTCTGACTTAACAATATAGATAATTTAATTTTTGTATTACAAATCTACTTATTTAGATATGTTATTAATAATGTAATATGTAAATTATTTTTTATTATATTATATAGTTAAATAGGCTAGTCTATTAGGCCTAACAAACTTTTATATAAGTCTAAATCCAACCTTTTTAAATAAATAAACTTTTTTTAGAAGCTTAAACCTTACATTTTTTTATTAAATATATTATGTCAAACTTTAAATAGGTCAAGTCATGAGCCCTTATTTAATGTATGACTTATTCTCATTCTTAAAGCTAAGTTTGAGCTTATTATTTAAAAGTTCATTTTGACTTTAAAGGTTGAGTTTGAGCCTATTATCAAAAAGTCAAGTCCAAGCCTATTCTACAAAAAGTAGGGTCCAAGCTTAATTTTATTAAAGGTTGATTCAGAACCTATTATACAAAAAGTTGAGTCCAATGTTAATTTTATTAAAGGTCAAGTTTGAGCCTATTCCATCAAAAGGCAAATTCAAATTTAAGGTCAAGTCCAAGCTTAATTTTATTATAAGTTGAGTTGAAGCCTAAAACTCGATAAACTTGAGCTTAACACAAAAGGTTAAGATCAAACCAAAACCTTAAAATACATTATTGTTGAATTGAGCCCTTACCACTAATTCAAAAGTTATAGTTGATAGTCAGGATGCAACCATTTTACTTAAATGTAATAGTCCAAGTGACATGTGTCAACTATGACTTGACCCACTTGGGCCTCTACCATGTGACAATTGAAGCCACACTTTGGCAAACAATCTTCCCCTTAGCAATTGCTTCTACTAGGAATCAAATATGTAACTTTGGGTTTGATACCGAATGTTGGATTGAGCGCTTACCATTAGATCAAAAGCTATAATTGATAGTTAGGGCACAACCCCTTTTTATGTAACTATAACAAACCAAATGTTGCGTATCAACTATGACTTGACCCACTTGCACGTCTACCATAGAATAATTGATGCCATACTCTTGCAAAAAATTTTAAACAAATTAAGTTCATGTCATATGAGAATATCTTAAGCTCCTTTGCTTTACAAAAGCTTAGAACTCAGGAACTTGTGTAATATCCAAAAAACAAAAGTTGGCACAACTAAGCTAATAATATTTTAGCAAATATAATATTATGGTTAATAATTTTTATTAATATTTTAACAGTTAATAAATAATCACATGATCCCTATAAATAAGGGATTATGATAGAAATCTCTTTACTATCCTTAAACTAGGTAACTATTATCCAATACTTATCTTTTAGCATAATTCTAGGAACAACCTTGATTTTCTTATCAATAAAATATGTCTAAAAAGATAGGATGAAACTCTAGCAGTTACACATATAGACATACAATAGTGGAGTATTAGGTATGTTTAAACCTAATTCATTATTATTCTTTTGAAACTAGTTTTGACTTAAGCATTGGAATCTCTTTTTAGGTATATATCCCATCAACATGGACTTTGGAGAAGAAGATCGAGTACAACAATGTGGAGGAATCGCCTGAATTCCATTATGAACAATGTGTACCTAATAATCTATATTTGATTTTAAAATAATTTTTTAAAAACTTATTTACTTGAAATGCAATGAAGATAAAAAATAATATAAATAATACATCATACTTGATATTGTAAATTGTACACGTGAATGTTATTTTAATTTGTTACAAAAGTTACAATTAAGATTAATTTCTATTTTATATTTATTCAACAAAACAATTAATGTTAGCCTAATGGTTGAAGAAAAGAGTTAGAATAAATGCATGAAGACTTAAATTTGATCCTCAATATTGTCCTTATAGTCTTTCTTATGGTTAAAAATAATATTTATTTAACAATAAATAATAGTGACAATATTTGATATAGGATAAAAATATCAAAACAAATATCCATGATCATATAAAAAAATCCACTAACATATATTTTTGAAAACTAAAAGAATATATTGGATAAGATCCACAGTGATTCATTTCTTTTATATATCATCACAACATGTTATTCTTGTATGGTTGCCAATAATAAAGTGTGTTAAGAGAAATGGATAGGATTATTAATGACATAAATGGTCACACAGAAAAAATAAATTTTTTGATTACATTTTAATTGAATTAATATTATAAAACCTATCAAAAAGGTGACAATTAAGTTCATGGTTGAATTAATATTATATATATATATATATATATATGTAGATAGATTATTCATATTTCTATACCAAAAGAAAAATATTTGCAAGACCTCAAAATGATGGATTCACTATTTTCTCTTTTATTTGATGAAATTGGAAATTAACAAAAGGCTAGAATCTACCATTCAAAACTAAATAGAAGAATGTAAAAGTTTTTTTTTTCTTTTCTTCCATTTGAAATAACAAGAATAAACACAACTTTGTTAAATTTGAAGTACATGTAAACTTTCCAACACAAATTTGGAAAGAGTACATATTATTTCTCAATCTTAACCCCTTCTCCAGATTTTATTTTATTTTGTTATTCCCATCTCCCTTGCTATATATCCTAACCAATGCCTAATTAATCATATTCATGGAACGGATTTTTTAGATGAACCACCGGCTACAATCTCTTGGGGAACAAACTTAGTCCATAACCAATGGGCCTTCCATACTCTATTCATTTCTTCGATTGGGATGTTCTTTGTCTCGGGCAAAAGCAACGCAATGAAAATTGTCATGATCACCACAAAACCAGCAAACATGAAGAAGAGACCAAACTTCAAGTGACAAAGCATGGTAAGGAAGACTTGAGCAATGATAAATGTGAATAACATGTTTATTGAGACATTCAAAGCTTGACCTGCTGGTCGAACTTCAAGAGCGCATATTTCACTAGGCACCAACCAACCCAATGGGCCCCAAGACCAAGCGAATGCGGCAACATATAGGCAAATAAATAACAAGAGAATGTCTGCTTCTCCTCTGGTAAATGATCCTTGACCATCAAACCCAAATTTTCTACCAATTAGGACTCCAATAATAACCTACAAGATAAATATATGCTCAGTAAAATAATCATATATGTTGATACTGAAGTTTAAAAGCATTCAACTTACTTGACAAATAAACATTTGCATGCCGCCTTCAAGAAATAATAATCTTCTTCCAAACTTGTCTACCGTAATGATAGAAACAACTGTGGCAATAACATTAACACCTCCTGTGATAACCGCAGACATGAGTGAGGCATCACCACCAAATCCTAAAATCTTAAAAAGAACTGGAGCATAAAACATGATGACATTGATGCCAGTGATTTGTTGAAAGAATGGAATGAAAGTGCAAAAAGTGAGTTGAGGCCTATAATTTGGTTGTGCAATGTTCTTCCATGGATGGTCCACCATTTTAGCTGCTTCACTAGCATCAACAAGATCCTGATATTCTTGATCAATGTTCTCAGTGCCACGAATCTTTCGTAACATTTCCTTAGCTTTTTCATGCTTTCCTCTTTCAATCAAAGAATTAGGTGTTTCAACTAAGAAAATAGATCCTACACATAACACAAATGCTGGCACAGCTCCAATGCCCAAAGACATCCTCCATCCATTGTTAAGCTTAGATGTACCATAGTTGATTAGGTTTGCAATGAGGATACCAATTGTAATCATCATTTGAAACCCAATATTGAGTGCTCCTCTGATATTTGCAGGAGCCATTTCAGATAAATACACTGGTACAGACTATTTATGAAACAAAAAATAATGATGTTAATTATTATAGTCTTTTCAAAACCTAAAGGCAAATAAATTTAAATGAATAGAATGATTAATTAACACTAACATGTTTACCTGATTACAATATCCCACACCAAAGCCTAATAATATACGACCAATGATAAGCATTTCAATGTTGATGGCAAACCCATTCAAGAGTGCACCAACAAAGAAAAACAAGCCACCAAAAAGCATTGAGGGTTTACGTCCAATCATTCTGGTTGTAATGGAAGCAAAGAAAGAGGCTATCAGTGCTGCAAGGTATAAGGAGGAGGTGAATAATGTAAGAAGTTGATTGTCAAATTTGCAATATTGACTTGTGCTTTCTGTTTCGTCTTTCATTTGTCTATACACACTAGGGAAGAACTTAATCAAAAATTGTTCCATAGAAGTCACTCCTCCTGTAATACCAAGATCGTATCCAAAGAGAAGACCTCCCATAGCAGCTACAAGACATGTAATTATCACAAATGTTGTGACCTTTCCCTCATATTGACGTCCTGCACCTGCATCCACAAAAGCTCCACCTGCCATCTTTCCAATACAAATCTCTTAAGTGTAGTCTTTGATGATGTAATTACTATAAAGAAACACCACTACTACTCCTTTTGTCTCTTCTTTCCTTTTTTGTTACTTATTTTACTCATCAAGTTCTGCTTTAATAGGTACAAGTAATGCATTATCAATGGTTAGAAAAAAGTCATTACATCTGCCAAAAATAGATTTCAATAGTCACTTATTCACTACTTTTTAGTTGGAGAGATGTATGCATTGATTAAAGTCATTTGTATTGCTTAAAAGTAGGAAGCAAATTAGTATTTACCTCAAGTTTTATTAATCATAGTTATGGTTGTGGTCCTTATCATTTGACCTTTTCTCAATATTGTTTTCAATTTTTTCTTACATTTTAGTTTATGTCTTATAGAATTTAGTTATTTCCAATTCATAAACATGTGAGATAGATCACTAGGGGATGGTACATAAGTTAACACTGCATGTTGTTTCTATTATATTCATAGCTTAATATTTCATAACTTCCCCACTTTTTAGTTCTCCTTCATGTTTTAATTATTTTTCAAAATTTTCAAATAATTATATTTATACTGAAATGAATTGAACACTAAATAAATAAAAACAAGATATAATTGCATTAAACAGTAAAAACTATTTCACCTATTAATAATGTTTATAAATATTTAATGCAAGAAATTATAACCAATTAATTTTGTTGACTTATTTATTGAATTAACATGTTTAAGTTAGCATACTTTTAATACTATTGTGCTAGTTATTTATTTATAACTAAAATATTCTTAAAAGCTTAATATTTTAGGTGGAAAATTAAAAATCTCATAGTATCATATTTGTGTTTGATATCTTTAGGGTAAAACTATTATATATATATATA